ATGTGTACTTAAAAATATGTTTTACAAAAAAATTCAAGAGCGCATGTGAGGAGTGCAGCGGATACGCTTCTTTTCTTTATAAATCAATCAAACTGAGCTAGCCAATCTGTCGGACTATAATGGCGAATATTGACCAGGACTACAAATGCCTTCTTGATAGGCTCTTTGAGCGAGCGAAACCATCACTACAATCAAATTCGTGAAACCACTTCCACAGCATCGCCCATGTTTTTAAACATCTTGTCACCTGATTGCGCACCCCTTTAATACCAGTATTTTGAAAGCAGTGACAATGCTGGCTGCGACGAGGAGAACATTTGAACAAAGATTGCTTAGAGCGTCTTTTTGTGACTAAATGAGCAATTGGACCCGGGATATGACAACCATCATTACGAAGCAGTTCGACAACAGGGTATGGTGTATCTTCCTGCCGACAACCGGTGGACTTTGCGAGCTAATGAGTGCCATAACCAGGAAAGTTACGAATTGTTATTGAAAACTATTACAAATCATTATTACTAATTACGAATTAAAATTAGTTTTAATTTTAAATTAAATTAAAACGAACTAAAATTACGAATTAAAAAAACTATTACTAAAGAATATAACGAAAAAATTACGAAAATTCATACTGATTTCACGGACATTTTGCTATTCTTGGTATTTTAACATTTACCGGTCATAATGAAAAAAACTAAGTTTGGTTGTGGAAGGACTTATTTGAACACCTGCATTAAATTACGTGAATAAAAGCATGTTGGAGGTAGGAGAGAATGACGTCTTCGCTATATGTGGCACGGATAGCAAGAATAAGAGTAAAACTATTTCAAAATAATTTTTCCACAAAAGTACGTTGCAGAACAAAATTCATTATTAATTTTTGTTTTTTAGAAAACTCCAGTAAGGTTGTACTTTACTAAATCACTAGATCAACTCTCCCAACTGATCCTGACTGACTATTTTCGAATAAACACCAGTCAGCATAAAAGCCCTGGCACCAGCCTATTTGCAGTACCCAATTCCCATTGAACACCCCTCTTTACAACTGTGTTCCTCGGACCCAGAATAGTATTACAGCGTAAGTATTCAGATAAGTAGCGCTATTTTGACAAATTTTAAAGTCAAAAGTCAAAACCTCTTCCCCGCTTTTTATAAGAGCGGAACACTTGAAAAGTAGCCCGAGTGATGAAAAATACCAAATGCAGTACCCCCCGCTAATAAGACTGTCAACGGCTTCCTTTTTCGAAGGCTACTTAGAAGCAAGCTGACAGCGGTTAACAGCAAAAAAATTGAACGGCTCATACAGGGATTGATCGTCGCAGTAGCCAAGTCGAATTATCAATATTCTGGCCAACAGTAGCACTATTTGCCATTGTATCATGCTCGCCACCACTTTGT